GTATAACAACCCCCTTTTTAGTGCATTAAAAAACTCATGAATATTCGGGGGGGTAGAGTGGAGCTGGTGATGAGCTCCATTCATGTTATGCTACAAAATATTGATAAGAATATTTGGTAAGTGTAAAAATTTTAAAAAGTACATGATACACCAACCAACAAGTCAACAACACTAAAAAAACCCAGTATAAGCCAACTTTCTTGGTGTCTGGGGTCAAGACATACGCAGCCATACCCCTATAAAAACAGTTTGGCTATTTCAGTTAGACATTGAGGCATTGTTAGATTTACTATCCAAAACTTCATAGAAAGTAAGAAGGAATTTTAGCCTAGTTTAACCATTAAAATTTAGCAGCGTAATAATGCCACAAAATAGGCGAGTATAAATTTTTTAAATATCGTGGAGAGAATCTATCAAGTAGGGAGGATTTAATTATATAGTGGGCTGTGACTATCACCTCCCGTATTAGAACCATCATTAATCCCATAGTTATCATCTTTAAGATAGTAGAAGGTGCAACCTATTTAAGGTTTAAACCATCATAAAGGCCCTGTTTAGTAATGGCATTTCAACAAAAAACCGATCAGCATCTTACCTGCCCACCAGATAAGAGCAACACAGCTAGTTTTCCTTCAGCAATGGCCTTCATACCAATATTCCACCATCTATCTCTATCTTCCATCGTCCGATCATCCACAGCGGACACACAGCTTTCTGGCACTGGCTCAATTGCTGATGCCAGAAGGCCTTGTGTTTTAAAATACAAAAAAGAAATAGGTAAAACTACTAAAAACCTATCGAACTGGGTGACCTAAAAAAGGAAAAAAAATTGTGAGTGAAAACCTTGAAAGCAAAAGGAGCACCGTATAATCCTATCAATCCTTGGTAGATCTATATTCTGCAAAGGATTACATAAAAATAACAACAAATCCTTAAAAGATTGAATATGCATTTCTACAAAAATATAATATAACCTACATGAACGCATCTCAAAGTTATAGGGAAAATTAATAATTAGAATTGCATCCATATTGAAAATAAAATGAGCACTTCCAATATATATATATATATATATATATATATATATATATATATATATATATATATATATATATATTATATCTGTGTGTGTGTCATATTGACTTCCATGGTTAATTTTATTCATCTACACTTTCCTACACCGATGAAAACAAAAGTCAAAGCTAATCTTTTACAGCACACATAAACATTAATTGAAGAAGAACAAATCAGATTCCAATTTCAACTCCAATTGGTCAAAGAGAGCTCTGAGATCAGGAAAAATTCAAATTCACGAGAAGAGAGCTGAAATGAAAATGCATCAACAATTGGAATAAGAGAAAAGACCTCAATGTCTTTGACGAGAAGGTGGCGTTCGTCAGGGGAGAGCTCAGCTCATCCCAGAGGGCAAAAGCATCTTCTTGGCCATAGTCATTGAGCCTCTCAAGCAAGGCCATGGGCGGAGGAAATGTGGTGGCACTAGTGTCGGTCACCGGCTCCCTCATTTTCTCTCTAGAAGCAATTTTCTCAGTGTTAAACCCCAACCCATGTAACCCGAATAAATTGGTTAGCGAACCGGGTTGTCACTGGTTGGTATCCAAATACAATGATTTAAAAAACATGCAAGTAAAAGACAAACATTTCAAAAAAATTCAATTAATTTACTGAGTTAATTTCAAACCGTGCGAAAACTTAATAGAAGTTACCATGCTATTAAAATAGTCAAACCATAAACACCTTTAAATTGATCCGCATCCAGACATTCTCTTCTGTCTCTTTGCCCTCTGGGAGTAGCTACAATAAACACCTACGTGAATTCAAAGACAACAAAGACTACACGCTCAGCTGAAAGCTGAGTGAGAATATATCTAATGCTATAATTAATTCACAGGCATAAACACATTCATATATAATCACACAAAATCCGTAAATAAACAACATTATTGTTCAAGGTCATGATTTCAAAATTTCTAATTCAGTTCCTCATAACTAGCTGGTAATGAACCTACACCACCGAGGCTTCAATTCAACAAACTAGAGTTATGGATACTCGAGTGGATCCCTCAAGGTCGATGCTCAAAAAAACCCAAAGAAGGTCCTCAATGGGCGGGTTGGAGTCCCTACCAAGGGATTCCTTAGGTGGTAGGTGGGACAGTGACTCCTGTATCTACGTTTTGAATCCTAAGCCATTGGATCACAAGGCCCGAACCTAACAAAGTCGTATTAGTGTTAAGCTATTCAATTCAGTTCAGATCCACCTAGATATACTAGGTGGCCTATTCCTCAATTACTGTTCATAGGACAACAGTAACACCAATAAGCTCAAAACAATTCACATAATCAGAACAATACATTCAGCGGCCTATCGAGAGAACCATGTCTCACTGATTATCGTCATGCTCAACAACAAGATAAAACCTAGGTAACATTTAATAAACATAACTGTGTCGCAAATTCTGGACTAAGGACTCCATCCTCAGGCCCGCTGCACGTGCGGTAACAGTACAATCGCCACCGGATCAGCCCGGAAACCCTCCGGACCAACCCAACGACCCAAACCACCAAACCAGGCCCATCAGGCGGCTGCCCACCGCCCGGAAGCCCTGCTGCCAACTCGGACAGCTGGCCTAACTGGCCCAAACCAAGCCCAAGTGCCCAACAAATCATCCAGTAACCACAACCTAGTCCAACATATCCAATTACAATCCAATTGCATCTAATTGAACGCAAAACAGACCCAATTGTTCCCAATAGAATCCAAACCAACCCAATTGCATCCAATTGAACCCAAACCAACCCAATTGGATCCCAATTACCCAAATCAAACCCAATTCAACCCAATTGAATCTAAATTGACCCAATTAGACCTGCCCAAAGCATAAACAGCGGCTGCCACTTTCCTTGCCGGCGATACGCCGGCGGAACACCGGATTCCGGCCAAAATTTCAAGCACAAACATAGTCAACAATAAATCCAACAATCAATGTGTCCAATTCAACAATCAATTGCAAGATTCATACGAATTAGATTCTATTCTACCTATTAACACTAATTATAGACATATGAACACGACCCTCGAGAATTGAAGAAATCGGATACAAATCGAAGAGAACAATCAGCGCTGATGCCCGTAGTTGCGCGCAGCTACCGTCGGAAATCGCCGCGCACGACGAGCGACGAATCGACGAGGAAGACGGTGGCAGTTCTGGCTGTTCTGCTCGTTTTAGACGGTGACGGTGACGGCGACGGTGGGAGTTGGCGTCGTAATTCCTGGTCGGCGAAAGAACGAAGAACGAGCCAACATGGCATTAGCATTAGCACATGTCTTTAGATATAAAATAGGGTACAATTTTTGGTGTACAAGTAGCTTAATTTTTAAAAGAATGCACTAATATTTTATGCATGTGCAAACCATATCACCGCATCATACTGATATAAATTAAAGGTGCACATTTATACTTTGGGTACAAATTTTGTGGTACAAATAACTTATTCCATTCCAATTAGAGCAGGTGGAGGATGGCAACGATATGGGGTACTAGGAGGAAATTTCAAGTTTGATTTTCGACAGCTCCGAAGTAACTATGCTAAGAATAGGTTCTATGCAAACATCATGTGCAGACTCCACTCTCTGCCACCAATCTGCAATTAAAGTTTAATTTACTTTCTCTTAATAACCATGCAGCTAGATTCGTAATTCGTTTGCATATTCGGGTTCAGAGTAACGAGCTCTACAATGTAGGATAGATTCCCACATTAAAAAGACTATTTCCAAAATAACCTTACTCCATTCCGACTCTGTAATCCCTTTATTATGTAATTAAAATATCAAGTTGTGTTTCGGGGCGTTACACTCGGCCTAAATCTTTTGGTGCTCTCTCGCTATAGATCTAAGAGCATGTAAGCGTGCTCAAATGAGAATGATGCATAGTAAAAGATATGAAATGAATACGATCCATTAGATTTAAGATCTAAGGGAACGTTTGGTTTGGGGGTAAGGGAAACAGAAAACAGAATGGGATTCCCCGGATTTCGTTTGTTGTCGATTGTTGAAACAAAGTTCATTCTATTTCTCCATTTCTCGGTTTTGGATTACCTCTTTTCGCCTCTTTTGATTCCCCGCTCCCCATCGGGGTTTCCCATTCCCATTCCCTTCTTCTCCTTCCCTAAACATTTTTCCCCGTCAATTTCTTCCCCAATTTGCCGCCGCCCCACTGCGTCTCGCCGCCACATCACGACTCCATCCGCACCGCAGTCCAGGTATGTTCCTCCCCTTTCCAGCTTCGTTCCCCCCCCCCCCCCCCCCCCCCCCC